CAATAAAAAATGGGAGGATGAAGAAGAGAAGGGAAGGTGGGAAGAGATGGTAAATGAGTTGAAAGAGGAGAAGAAGTCGTTGGTGGAGGAAGAAGATTTTTGGAGGGGAGAGGTTGGAGAGTGGCAAAAGAAGTCTAGGGAAGTTGGTGGAGGGGAAGGTAACGAACAAAATTCATAAAAAAAAAAAAATTATTTTTTGTTCATTCCATTTCATTTATTTATTTATTTGTATACTGTTTATGAATTTAACTAACTTGTGGTTTTTTTCCTTCAATATTTTGATTTTGATTCTTTTTGGGTTATTTTTATTCTTCGCCAATTCATTTTGGAATTATTCATTGTTCATTTTTAATCAATGAAGGTAAGCATTTATATACTGTTATTTATGTTGCTGATTAGTTTGTTAACAAGAAATTTGCAGTAACAAAATATCGATTTGATCTGATCTCTTTTTTTTTCGCATTAAAGCAGGTCCCTCTCAGCAAGGAATTCCACAAGGTACAGTATCCATAGTTAAATAGCTTGTGTTGTCTTAGTCTTTGTATTCTGGCCTGTCATTATTGATACATATAGGTTACCTACCATATTAGTTAATAATTGTGTTTTGTTATCATTCATAAAATATAGTGACATCGATTGAAGGTGCTATGACAAAAATTTTGAAGGGAATTCTTGTATCAATGGACATAGACAATGTATACAATAATGAGCCCAAGTCTTTGTCCCTAAAACAACGTAACTTTGAGCAAGCTACTGATGTAATTGAAAAGAATTTTTGTAATTCCTTAGATAAAAAAAAAAAGAAAACTCCCACAGCAAAGACAAACTATCGAATCCTCCTATGTGGTGGGGCACCTGGCATAGGTAACTTTCATATAATGTGGTTTTAGCCTTCTAATTAACAAACTCAAACTTTTATTCATCAGGAAAAACACGTTATGGAGTTGAATTGTTTGATTGGCTCAACAAAGAATGGAAGACATCAAAAGGCCAAAAGCCTTATATGCTTTATATGCTTCTTGACTTCTCTAGTGGTTTTCATTTAACTAGTGAAGAGTATGAAATCCAGAAAGATGATGAAATGGAAATTGCATCAGAAATCATTTTTGGATTGCGGTTGGCGTACTACCATTTTGTCTATGAAAAATATGTGATGGATTTTACACTGTTCCGTACAAAAGCCAATGAATTTAAGAAAATTTTTACGTTGAGTAATGTCCTCATGTATATCTACAGCCATGAACATGAAAGACTTCAACCTGGCCAGCATCTTTTCATCTTTCTTCAAATTGATGAATTTCAGCTTATTTTTAAAGATCGAAATGAAGGAGCTAAATTATTTAAGCAGTTAATGTATACTCTTGGGCATCATATGACTGGAAAAATTCCAAACATATTTGTACAGACTCTACTCTCAGGTACAGCACCACAGGATGCAATACGAGCAATGGAACCTTCAATGTATTCTTATGAATCTCTTGACCTTCCACTGCTTTCCTTGAAGTCACGTCTTGAAATAATGAGGGAATTTGCAACAAATCACAATGTTTCTGATTGTGTATGGGTACCACAAATTTGGATACACCAATTACTTCTTGATACAGGTGGTCTTCCACGTGCTTTGGAATATCTTTTTACAGAATTTTTTGGGCAAAATTTTACAAATGTTAAGGAATTTTTTGAAAAACTTGAAAAAAAGAAACTAATCCCATCAACAATCTACACTGATGTCTCAAAAAATATTGATATAGCATATAAAATCAAAGCTTATGCTAGAGATCATAAAATGCTTATACATGAGCTTGTTTACAGAAATATGATGGGAATCGAATCAGATATATCTGATGAACTGCAAGATGGTATCTCCACTATAAAATTGGAACATCTGGAACGTGATAGACACTTGATACTAAGGAAATTGGAAGCAAATGATAAAGTTCTAATTGATATACCATACTTCTTTATGTATATTTATGCCAGTATCCTTGGAGTTTTCACAGAACATCTAAACAAAGCATTTTTACCTGATTCAGATTGGTCATGGGAGGATTTTGAAATATTTATTGCGGATTTTATAGCATCAAAAATCAGTATGATTCATGTGCTGGAAAAAACCAAATCATTAAAACTTGGAGATTTCTTTCGCGGTGCACAGGGTAGTGATGTTACACTAAACCTGTTGATCAATTTTGAACCTGTTCAAATCTATAAATTAAAACATCAATTTCCATGCCTGAACCTTTCCGCAAAAGAGGGATATTATGATTTAGAGAAATTAGAGCCGGGTTACATGATGATCAATGGTTATTCAGCACCATTTGCAGATGTCTTTTTTTTAGTAGATAACCCCAAGCCCATTCTTATTGCTATTCAATGCAGAAAGAGAAAAAAATCTCTTGATTTGGAAACAATTGAAGATGAACATGAGAAAAATTCAAATATTTCTGAAAAAATGAAAGAAAAGGCTGAAAAAATCAGGAACAATGCCAAAGTAAAAGGCAGAGAGATGAAAGAAAAATTGCAAAATGAGGCAGAGCAATATACACAACTTGCAAATTTTTTGAGCAAATACCGTATCATCACAATTTTTATCACAACTCAGCATTTCAGTGAGGAATTGGAATACCTTCCTGATGATTGTATTCTGATTCATCAAAAAAACTTTGACATTTTCTTCGGGCCTGTATTTTCCTCTCGTACCAAGCTTGTAATGACCAGAGATTCAAATCCAAATTTGAGTACTGCAAGTGAATTGATGTCAAGGTTTAAAGCAATTAAGGAAGATATAGGAGAGAAAATTGAAAAAACTACTAGGAAAAGAAAGACTTTTAGGTCACATGAAGAGTTCTGTGAAGAATTTCCAGAATTGGCTAATGATGATGAGATCCGAAATAATTTTGTTTACTACCCATACCCTCCACATATAGAACCCTTTGAACATTCAAACAAGAGAACACATGTTTAAGATAAAAGCAATATACCTTTTTCGATTTTTTTTCCTACTGTGTTGGATTTCGTTGTTGTTAATATTTTATGTTCTTTATCACATTATACATACATATATTCACATATAGTTCTATTTTATTAGCAAGTATTATAATGAATAATAATACTAAATATCAATAAAATAATGTAATGAAAAATCATGATAAATAATAAATAATAGATTGATGAACCAATAAAATTATAAATTATAAATATATTTTGACTGTGGTTCTGCACCATTTTGTCATCCTAAATTCATGTGATTCTTTAATATTATGTTTCGTGATAATGTAATATAACAATATTACAATATTTATATAATAAAATTACAATTATTAATTAAAGATGACTCTGCAATTAGGGTGTTTCAACCAGTTGCAGAACTCCCAACTCAGTTGCAGGCACCAACTTTATTATTAATAAATAATAATAAAATATATAAATATAGAAACATATGTTTCCCCAGAGTTCTTAGAATCAACTTAAAAGGAAACATAATTAATAAAAGTTAATGAGTTAATGTTCTCCAGCATTGTTTAATGTCCACTAATTAATGACAATATAAATATCAATATTAAATGCATAACTTGAAATAAATGATTAATTTAAACAAATATCTTGTATTACATTCAATATATTTCGAGTCATGACAAACAAATAAATAATAAATAAATAAAAATGAAAAAAAAGTGTACTATTTAGCAGGGTTGGCAAATGACCAGGTCCATTGTGACCAATGGATTTTGGACTAGGTCCATTGGGTCTATTGCTGGTCCATCAATTTCTGGTCTATCAATGGTCCATTTATTTCATTGGCTATCTGGGGGTGTGATGCAATTGACCATCAATGGATCAATGGACTTCCTGATCCATTGATGGTCTATTGAAAATTTCCTAATATGGATATATTATTACACAAATAGATCACAAAATGACCGATCCATTGGTCCATTGGTGGTCCATTGGTCCATTGGTTTATTTTATTTTATTTTTTTATTAAATCAAATATTTTTATTTTAATCCTTATTTACAAAAAATTAATCATTATATATTATAGGCAATATATCAAATATGAAATCTGGTGCATCGAGACCAGCAGGAAACAAATCTGTCAAAGTCCACTTGGCCCTTTTATTTTCTGCTGGGTGTGATTCATCTAATGGAGCATGTTGTTCCATTTCATCATCAATATTTTCATTGGAAGTCATGCTAATCCATTCATCTACTAACATCTGCCATTCTTCTGTAGAATTAATAAATCCTTCATCACCATCACCATCACCACCACAATCACCATCACCATCATCATTATCCCCATCAATATTTATTATTTCCTTTTCCAGTTCTTCTCCTAATTTTAAATTTAATTAATTGATAAATATAGATTATATTATATAGACTTAAAGTATTCATTATAAATTTACCTAAATCTTGATAAGTTTCTTCTGGGTTTGAATCATGATCATTTGTTTCTGTCACAAAGTCATTTATATCTTCAGTTTGAAGTTTGTTAACAGTTGATTGCATTTTTAAATTAATTATATCACCATGGATCTGGCTTATTTTCAATACCTTTTCATACTATTAAAAATATATATATATATATTAAAAAAAATTTGGATTGAATAATCTTAAATGATTTTTTTTTGACTTACATGAAGACGGTTTCGAAGAGGCGTGTGTATTAACTTCATTTTTGAAAATAATCTCTCCACTGGAGCAGAGTTGACACACATACCAAAAATATGACATGCTAACTTTGCAAGTTCATTATTATCTCTTGACAAGGAACCCCAGTATAATAATAAATCACCTTTATATTGATTAAAAATTTCACTAGAATAAGGAAATTTCATTTGATTATATCTTTCAAATTCGAAAAGGATTGATGTAGGTTTTTCATTAATCCATGAATCATAATAATAAAGAAGCCATGATTTTAAAGAAAATGACAATCTTGGTATAATATTTGAGTCAAATTTTTCTGCCCTATAACTTGGATGAAGCCAAAAAGAAAGAATAAGTATAGGTTGCTCCCAAATACTCCAGCGCCTTTCTAACCTAGTTAACATTTTTTGTCCAAATATCTGATCTGGGTAGCTCTTATATAACTTAACAAGGTATCCAAAAGAGTGGAAAACTTCAAAAAGTCTAGCATTATTAGATTGAAGCTTATCTAATGCATTACATAATGGGACCAGAAGATTTCGAAGAGTTTTAATATATCCCCAAAAAGACCCAGAATCAATAATTTCACATATAGCCTTATCTAAAGTTAATTCATTTCGAGTTCTGCGTTCATATTTTGTAACTAAAATCTTAAATTTTAATAAATATATTATTGAAATTAAAATAAATACAAAAATTTAATAAATACATTATTTGAAATCAAAATAAATACAAAAAATATAAAAATATATAATTATGTACTAAAACATTATTAATTACTTCTAATGCTTGTTTGCTATTTATAAGGCTGGTAAAACATCTATGGTAACTATTCCAACGAGTATCACCAGGTCGTTGTAAGGAAATATATTTTTTATAAAGAATCCTTTGTTCTTTACGTAGTTTTCCCATAAAATATGCTGACTTATTGAAAAATGAAATAATTTTTATAGCCTTTTCTGAAGCCTCTTCAAATTCTATTGATTCTTTAAAAATTTCACCTACTACTAGATTGATTTGATGTGCGAAACATGGTAGGAAGGTTATATTTTTGTATTTCACTCTTAAGGTAGATCTAAAAAAATATTATTTATTAACATTTTGAATAACAAAAATATAAATATATAAATTAAATATATAAATAAATATATAAACCAACCTTGCTGATGCAAATCCGCTTGCTGAATCAGTGACAATGCAAATAATTTTTAATTCTTTATTATCATTTAACCAGGACTCAATTTGACTTATAGCATCAATTGCTCTAGATCTTTCACCCGAAATATCTACTGCATTCCAAATTACGCTTTTACCTTCAGATGTGATTATTACTGATCCTAGAATTGATTGTTTGACACAATTTTTCCACCCATCAAACAAAACTGTTAGACCAATGTTTTCTTCTTTTACCATTTCTTGTAATTTTATTCGCACCATATGTGATTCATCCTCAAGTATTCTGTCACTTAATGATCTTCTTTTTGGTAAATTTAATCCCTTATTGGCAAAATTTAACATTGCCTTTGCTTCAGGGTTATCGACCCAATTAAATGACCACCCACAAGAAATAGTTGCTCTTAATACCAATCTTTCCCATTGCTTCTGTGAATCTTCTGATAACTTTCTTGGCATGTAATATTGTATTGTGTTTTCTCTAGGATTATTTTCAAATTGAGGAGGCAAATTATCGTTTAAAAATTTTAATCCCTGGAACTTATTACGAATAGATTTAGAAGAACTTGCAACAGATACAGATTTTAATTCATCCACTTCTAAAATATAATCAATTTCAAATTAAAAATAAATAAAATAAATTCAAATTAAAAATAAATAAATTATTGAAAATAAACATTTAGTTACCTGAAATTTCACTACCATCATCATCAATATTAATTATTTTCCTTTTTTTGTGTTTATTTTTTACTCTTTCTTCTTTTTCTTCTTCATCTATTTTTCGTAAAAATTCATTTAAAGCCTCACTTGAAAGTTCTGCTTTGAAATAATCACAATGCTTCAAATGATTCCTGCAAATCTTTTTTTTATTTGTAATTACTTTGACAGAAGTTGCAGGTTCCAGATTTTTAATACAAGCTTTACATTTAGCACCATA